GAGTTCGTAGATGAAAACCAGCCAGATTGCTTGAACCGGCTTTCCACAGACTCAGCAATCAGGTTGTAGAATGAACTTTTCACTTATTTATCAGTTCACTTGGGAAAACTGTACACGTAGCTTTAAAGAGACCATTCTCAGAATAGATGGTCCACTTGTATCCCAAAAGTAACAGCTAGGAACCAATTAGGGCCATTCTCTTCAATTGGGCTTATTACTGGTGCTAATCTGTGAAGAGAAGAGTCCAATTGTGAGGAAGGCTAGCAACCCCGCATAACACACCCTGAAGGTTTACTAGGCTTCTGCCAACACCTTCAGCTGCTTTAATTGCTTCTTCAGGGCTCGTTTCACACAGAGAATGGAGTCCTTTCCAGTGCTCCAGTCTTGTTCTCTCAGCATCAGGTGTGGAAGGCGCAGAAGAGCACAGAAAACTGGAGTCATTCTACTAAACCTGTCAGAGAGCTATTGTGAAGTAACTTACACGGCGTTACACAGCGAAAATCAACACAATAGAACCTGGAGCCCAAATCTGTCTTACTCCCAGTCGACCACATTTCTGCCGCATCACACACTGAGTCTTCAGCAAATACTGTGCCGATCTTCCAATACTCTGGCCCCTTTCCAAGCAGCCATCTCTCGGGCTCTGAGTGGAGTCTAGTCCCCACCACACACACCTATGAAGGAAGAAAGCATTACATGGACAAATGTTCATGCCAGCTATGCGGCTGGGATTTACAGGGTGCTTGCTCGGTGGCTGGGCCTGTGTTAAATGTCTTACATGCATTATTGACATGGAAAATCTTTTCCTTAGATCTGATCAGCAATGCTGCGGTCTGAGAAGCCATTAGCAAAACCCAAGCCTGAATTTATGACACCAGACTGGGTTCCTGGTCTTTCTATTCCACCACATTCCCTCTGGGGCATGTCTCCATCTTCCCTACCTTGGTGAATGTCAGTAAGTGGAGTACAATATTGATTTTGTCCTATACACAGAGCAGGCCAGGGAGGGAGTGAAGACAGCAAAAGAATAAGGAGCCCTTAGCCAAGGGAAGAAAGGACTTTTCTACAAACAATGCTCTCTTACATGTTGCTTTCAAAGAATTTCTTTATAGCAGCCAAGACTCTATGAAATACATTTGTGTTGGAAAGCACAACAATGCATCAACATTTCTTCTGTGTTTGCTTTTTTTTAATCCTCACCCGAGGATATTTTTCTATTGATTTTTAGAGAGAGTGGAAGAGAGAGGGAAAGACATCTCACATCGATTGCGTCCTGCACGCTCCCTGACCAGGGACAGGGCCAGGAAGGAACAACCCAGGTATGTGCCCTAGACAGTAATCAAACCCAGGACCCTTCAGTCCGCAGGCTAACGCTATATCCACTTAGCAAAACCGGCTAGGGCTCTTCTGTGTGTTATATGCCCTGGATTGAAGGAGCTTGGTAAAAACTGTTCCTTCCAGCATAAAGCTAACCCTAATCCTAAAAGATAAATAAGAAAAGATGGATCCAGATTTGGCCATCATAGCGCCACTCTCACTCCTTTAACCACCATCCAAAAACATCTTAGAAAATTAGGCTAGATATTTCTCCAGAGATTTGCTCACAAGAGGTTCATTATGTTTTGAATGAGGCTGGAGTAAAAATCCTCCTGTGAAAACAGCCTTCCAGGCTTAATGTTATTTCCTGTCTCGAGATCTCCAGGGCAGAGTGCTGACTCAGGAGCACCCCCTTGCAGAATCAGAGAGGGGTGTGGGGTGCAGGGAGAGAAGACTTTTTCTAGAGATTCTAGTCAGGAAGCAAGAGACGATTCAAACCGGATCTTGATTTTTTTCTTTTCTTTTTCTCAGTCAGTCAAACCACCCAAGAGATTGCTGAAATCCTTCTACAGCTGAAAAACACTAAAGGTTTGAAAGGAAAGATTCTACTAGTAAACTCTTCATTTTTAGCTTTGTAAAAAGAAATCTTTTTCCCTGAAGTTAAGCAGAGAAGCAAGCCAATGCCAGCAAACAGTGGTAAACAATGTTGAAAGAAACCAATGGGGCAATGAGTGTGGGAGAATCTTTGTTCTCCTTTGAAAGTGACAGAAAACCCCGCAGTTGTCACACAGTAAGTCTCTAGCCTGCAGCCCAGAACAATGGAGGACACAGCTCATGGGTGAAATTAACGCACAGAAAATCCCTGGGTGGACAGTGTGTACTTCCCAGGGAAGCTGATGCTGAGCTTGAGAAGAATCAGAGTCAAATGTAACTAAGCTAGTCAACAACATGAATTCCGTGCTAATGGCTTGAGCTTGTGAAATGTAAAGAGTTGAGTCCTGGCTGGTTTTGCCCAGTGGTTAGAGTTTCTACCCTTCAATCGAGGGTTTGATTCCCAACTCCAGTCGGGCCGCATGAGGGAGGCAACCAACTCATGTCGATGTGTCTCTCTCATGTCATGTTTCTTTCCCCCTCCTCACCAATCCCCTCCCTTCCACTCTGTCTGAAAATCAATGGGAAAAATATCCTCAGATGAGGATTTTAAAAAAGTGAAGAGTTGAAGAGAAGGGTTAAGGCTTCCTGAAGAGCTGGTATCTGTTCTCTTGCTGGTTTCAGCACTTGAACACCCTTCTCTCCCGCTCTCCTCCTCCCTCAAACCAATAAAAAGTAAAATAAATACAGAGTGAGCACGAGTCCAACTCCACCGCCTACTACCGGTTACCTTGAGAAATGTACTCAATCTCTCCAGATCTGTTTCTTCTTCGGTGCTCAGAGGCAGTACACAGCAAGTGCCTCGCACTGTGCCTGGCATGAGCTCCCAGGCATGTGACTTGTGCACTCTGACAGCTAGTTGAGGATATTTCTGGCAAAAGAAATACTCATAGCAAGAACCACAGACATGGCAAGGACCATGCCTAATTTGACTTAGTGTCACCACGCCTTGCACAGTGCCAGGCCCGTAAGAGGTGTTCAATAAACATAAGCTGAGTAATGAGTCATGAATGAACGTTATCAATAAGAGGGTAGTTACCTGGCATCAGTACGCCTAAGCATGAAGCCAGCCTCAACCTCCCTTGTAAGTTTTTCCTGTCCCTGTCCCTCTGGAAGCAGCTGAACACATCTCTCCTTTATTAGCTGAGATTATATGATGTACCTCAACTGGGAGACCAGAGTTCAAAGTCTGGTTCTCTAGCGAGCTGGTGTGTCTTTGGACCAAGACATCGGCCACAACGTTACCATTATTCTATTAGACTATCAGAATAGTCTCCAATGAGGGAGGGGCAGAGAGCATGTCATTATTCCCCTTGTTCAGATGAGGAAGCTGAGGCCCAGAGAAGTAAAATGATTTGCCCAAATTCCCTCCTCCAACCAGGGGCAGTCAGGTGAAGGACCTCGGCAGCCCTTCTGGCTCGAAGGGTCTCAGACTGCAACACCTCCCTCTGACCGCTGCCAGAAGGCAAATAGGTTCCCCTCAGTACTGTCTTCCCTTTGTGTGCTACTACAGCCTGCAGAGTTCCCTTCCTCAAAGCCAGCGGGGCCGGGCTGCGCTAGGGATTTCTGACAGCAGAGGGGGCTGCTGGGCCAAACCAGGCTTTCTCCATATAAGGAAGAGAAGGGTGCCCGCCTGCGGAGATGCAGCTGGAGTTCCTCATTCCATCTGGAGTTCCGCAATTAGGTCGCAGCGATATAAAGTGCTTTGAGGACAGAACAAAATAGAATCCGTGAGGAACATGTGCTCTGGTCCTAGCTCTGCCAGTAACAACTTGTCACCCCAGGGAAGTCCTGTCGTCGAAATGTGCAAAAGTCTTATTAGTAGCTCAGGGTTCTCAAACCTGCAGACCATCAGAATCCCTCCGGTTGCTTGTAAAATACACAATCGGGTGGGGGCCGGGGAGGGGAGGGGGGTGCATCCCAAACCTATTGAATCAGTATCTCCAGGGGTGGGACCTGGAAATCTATAGTTTTACAATTTAAGGTCCCAGGGCTTCCGAATGCACAGACATGTTTGGGAGCCATTGAACTACATGAAATGGAAGGTCCTTCTTTTTCCTTGTAAGATTGAAAACCCACAATGCGTCGACCTCTACTGCTTTTATTTCTGGTTTGATCGTTGACTGCCTAGAGAACTGTCCTAAGGACGATTTGAAGGCAACGCTGTAGAGTGAAAATAGAACATGAGCCACAAATGTGAGGCCCATAGAGATTTTTACATTTTTTAGCAGCCACTTAAAAAAAGCTACAAGAGCCCTAACCGGTTTGGCTCAGTGGATAGAGCATCGGCCTGCGGACTGAAAGGTCCCAGGTTTGATTCCGGTCAAGGGCATGTACCTTGGTTGCAGGCACATCCCCAGTGGGGGATGTGTAGGAGGCAGCTGATAGATGTTTCTAACTCTCTATCCCTCTCCCTTCCTCTCTGTAAAAAATCAGTAAAATATATATTTTTTAAAAAAAGCTAAAAGAAGCAGGTAAAATTGAATTTTAATAGCATATTTAATTTAACCCAATATATGCAAAGTATAATCATTTCAACTTGTAATCATTAATGTTAACGTAAAAAAAACCATTGAAACCTGTAAAGAATTTTTGTGAGTTTATTTGAGCCAGACTGTCAACATATGCCGGGAGGCAGAACCTCAACGAATTGAGATAGTGCTCCGGAGAATGGCGGGGTTACATCCGTATTTATACATTGCAATCAAAGGAGGAACATAGGTGGGTTACATGAGATTCATTGGTGACAGATTAAGGAGGAGGGATAAGCAAAGCAGGGAAACCCCTGGGATTGGATAAAAAGTAAAATGACAGACACATACTTAGGTGGGTGCAGGAACAATTAACATGATGATGAAGGAATTTGTGGTATCTGTCCTGGGGCCCAGCACATTTGGTTGTGCCCCAGGGGCTCCAGATACAGGGAAGTCAGAAGTTACCCAGACATTTCAAGGGTATGTTATCATAGATGCAAAAAGACAGATAGGCTCAGGTAAGGTAAAGGTTGACCTTGTCAGTGAAGATACTGGCCTAGGACGTAACTGCCCACTATAACTGCTTTTAGTTAAAGTTTCATTTCAGACCATCCTTTGTGGTTACTTTAGGTCTCTGAGTTTGCAAGAATGCCATGCAGGCCTCTCCTGAGCTTGTCAGGCCAGCATGTGGCCTCTTTCGTCCACAATACCAAAAAGAGAGAGAGAGCTTTTACATTTTTTTCTTTTGTGAGGTTCCTGCTAGCCACATTTCAGATGATCGGTGGCCACATGTGACCAGCGGTTCCCCAGGTTGGGCAGAGGTGTTAAGCAGTGGGTGGGAGAAAGTGCCATCAGTGAGCAGCGTCCACAATGAGCAGGGCATTGGAGGGAGGCACATGTGCTCTATAGTTGTCATCAGTGGGGAGTGGATGCCAAATGAACTAATTTCTAGTTCTCTGGAGATCAGACAAAAGGACAAAACACAGAGATGGAGGAGACAGGAAATCCACACTGGTTAGTGGTTAGAAGCCCTGCAACCAAGTGGAACAAATGTTAAAATAAGTAAGAAAAAGATTTAACCGGAAGTGGGTAGGACAGGCCAAGCACCAACACTTGAGGACATATTTTGTATTCATTCTATGAAAATAATCTTCTTGACTCAGGGCCAACATAACGGGCCTATTGAAGGAGTATTGATTCGTTTATAAGCGTGTGACTGAATCTCCACTGTGAGCTACAGCCAGCTGATACACAGCAAAGAAGTGGGGAAAGGGAAGGATTAAGAAGTATAGATGGGTAGTTACACCACAGTCACAGAGATGGAAAGGGCAGAACAAGAAATACAGCCAATAATTTGTAATAACTGCGTATGGTGCAGGGTGGGTATTGGATGTATCAGGGGGTACAGTCTGTAAAGTTTATGATTGTCTAACCCACTATGCTGTACACCTGAAACTAACACAAAATAATATTGAATGTAAACTGTAATTGAAAACTTAAATTTAAAAAATTTTAAAGGAGTGGGGGAGGGGGTGCCTAGGCCATGAAAATAATAATGTAAGCAGTAACAATAATAGACCATTTTTAAAACGTATGATTTTTAAAAGCACTTTACTCTCCATTTTTGTTTATTCCTTATGACATATGGGACAGGCAGGTGGACTGTGAATACCCGTTTTAGACTGGGGAACTGAGGCTCAGAGAGGTGTGTGTTTGCCTAAGTCTCAGAGCCCGGGCAGGAACAGCATCACTTCCCCACAGGACCTCCGCCATCGCTTCTCTCTGGTCCATATGGGAATTCAACCTTGGCCTCATTATCCGAGAGCTCTCGCCAGCTACTTACCTGATGCAGCCATAAATATCGTTAATTCACTTTTCAAAGGCCTTTCCTCTTCTAATAGATTAAGTTTCAGTTAGCTGCCTATCCACCCCCTCCTCCCTGTCTGTGTCTGCACCTCCCCTGCCGTCTCTAATCATGTGTCTCCCTGGAAGGTGTAAATGCCTTTGCCTCCGGCAAGGATGCCTTTTCCGCAGCACCACGTGGAGCCGCCAGCTTGTAACAGGAGCAGCCCTTTCCTCTGCTTTCTGAGTCCAGATAACAACTCGCAAAGTCACTCAGGGAAGCACGGACCGGTTTCAAGCAGGATGAGATGGGGTGGTATGTAAGGCAGGTGAACAGTTGAAGTGGGAAGAGGGAGAACTGAAAAGAAAAAGAGAGAAAAGGAAGTAATAATAATATTGGCTTTTCTTGTCATTCAACTCATAGCTTGTATCACTTGCTCAGGGAGGCCCTGACCAGCCCACCTAACGTAGCCATCCCATTACTCTCTCTCAGGGCATCATCCTGTAATTTCTGTACAGCATCCGTCACTCTCAGATGTTTTTGTTTGTTATTACCTGTCCCTACCCCAGGTTGACTATAAGGTCTGTGAAAGCACTCACCCTATCTGTCTTATTCACCGTGCTGTGCACAGATCTTACAACCACACCTGGCCCGTAATAAACAGTAGCTAAATATTAATTTAATGAATGGATGAGGGGCTGGGTTAAGGACTTACCCACTGTTTACAGGTTATATCATTGAATCCTCACATGAATCCAAGGAATTAATGTTTATCATCTGTATTTTATAGGTTCCTATAATCTCAGTGTGAGGTGATAAGAGTTTGTAATCTGAATACTATGAAGTCACCGGTGATTTCCAAATCTCCAGTCCAAAACCCTTTTCTCAACAAAACCTTTTCTCATTCATTCCAGCTGTGCTGCAACATTTGAGACTGTTGTCCCTGCGTTTCTCCTAGAAAATCTCTTTCAGATTCCACTCATTGCAGCATTATTTACACTTAGAGAAGCAACCTAAATGTCCACTGACAGAAAAATGGGTAACGGTACACATGTACAATGCAATATTCTTCGGCCACAAAAAGGAATGAAATCTTACCATTTGCAACAACACGGGTGGACCTGGTGGGTATTTTGCTAAGTGAAAGAAGTAAAACAGAGAAAGAGAAATACCATCTGACTTAACTTATATGTGGAATCTAAAAAAACAAACAAACAAAGCAGAAACAAACTCATAGATACAGAGAACAAACTGATGGCTGCCAGAAGGGAAGGAAATTGTGAGGCTGGGTGAAAAGAATGAGGGGATAAAAAAGTACAAATTGCCAGTTATAAAAATAGTCACTCGAATGTGAAGTACAGCATAGGGAATATAGTCAATAATGTGGTAATAACTACGTACAGTGCCAGCTGGGTACTGGACTTTATGGAGGGGAATCACTTCCTAAGTTACATAAATGTCTAATCACTAAGTGGCAAACTAATATAGTATTGAATGTCAACTGTAATTGAAAACATTTTTTATTTTTTTCACTATATTTTACTAAAAGAGTACAGATAATATACATTTTCCTTTGCCCTATTTGTATTTCCAGAATTGTGATATGTATTACTTTTGAAGTATTTTTTTCTCAAATATAACTTTATATTTGCTCATTAGAACAAAGTTAAATAATAGAGACATTTGAAAGGCAAACATTGCCTGGCCAGAGTGGCTCAGTAAATGCACCAGTAATTTTTTTAGATAAATTCTTAGAAGTGAAATTGCGAGGTCAAAGGATATGCACATTTCAAGTGTTTATAGAGGATACAAATTATCCTCCAATGGTTGTGCCAATTGACACCCTTTTCTGTCGGGTTTCCTTATTAACACTGAATATCTTATACCAATATGATAAAGGAAAATTGTATCCTGCTTTATTTTGCCTATCTTTGCTATTTAAATGATTGGATCTTTCCCATCTTTTATACCTGTAAGGGGGTTATAGTTCTTCTTTGAGTTGCCTGTTTACAGAATCTTTGTAAATATTTCCAAATATTTTCACTCAGCCTATAGTTTACCTTTTAATTAGGTTTGCAGTGTTTGGCTTTTGCTCTATTTTGTTTTGGTTAGGGTCATATCAACTTATTTTATAAGAAAATATTTTAGCCCTATTCGGTTGCTCAGTGGTTAGAGCACTGGCCCATGGACTGAAGGGTCCCAGGTTTGATTCCAGTCAAGGGCACATACCTCAGTTGCAGGCTCCATCCCTGACCCTGGTCGGGGCACATGCGGGAGGCAACCCATTGATGTGTCTCTCTCACATCGATGTTTCTCTCACTCTGTCTCTCCCCCCACCCCCCTCCAATCTCTCTAAAAATCAATGGAAAAATATCCTCAAGTGAGCATTAACAAACACAAAAATCTCAACGTCTGCTGGTGGACCTAGCAACAGTGTGACTATCAGTGTAAGAATTCCCCACATCTAGAAAAACCACGGATGTGTAGATCCTATTGATGGCAGGTCAGAAGCAAAGCTGTCCTAAATGAAACAAAGAATGATAGCTATTCTGCTTTAAAAAAACCAACTATCATTGCACTGGAAAATACACAGAAGCCTAATTCTGAATACGCAAATTCTCTTTGAATGTTTAGCCAATATTCACATTGTCTCAGAACTCTGAATTTCTTAGCACCTATTCAACCAAGGGGTACAAAAAACGGGGCACATACGCTATTATCGCCACCACTGTCCCCTTTTCACCCATGGCAGACATTACTAATTGATCACTTTCCTCCAGAGCCCCGATGTGGTCTAAAAAGCTTTCTCTATGCCACATTCCAGTGAAATGCTACCAATCCATCAGAATTTGTATATAAGATAAAACCTGTTGCCAGCGTGCTTCTAGTCCAAACTTCCATTTTTAAAGAAAGGTATGAGGGCTCAGGGCGGGAGTGCGACTTACACAAGAACATGCAGCAAGTTAGTTGCAAAATCAGAGCTCAGAACTAGCCTCCTGCGTCCCAATCCAATGCTCCTTCCACGGCACCACTGTGTCCTGCCTTTCCCCCCGCCACCGGGAAAGCCGCTCCTGGAGCATTTGGTGAAGATCCTTCCATAGAGGGAAATATAAGTGTAAGGTGTGAACCCAGCATCTGTGTCTATAATATCTTTAAGGCTTAGAGCTGGGTTCAGAAGCTGACTAGCTGGGCAACCAACATCTATGTATAAGGCGCACTGAAACACTATGACAGAAGTAGGAAAGTGGAGAACTTATCTCACCAAGAGCTTCTATGGAATGGGATGAAATATCAAATGCATTGTGTGTGGCGGGAGTGGGGAACAAGGGTGCCCGCAAGGAGCAGGCTCAGTACCAACAGAGGGGCTCTCCGCTGGTGGTCTGATTAAGCTTTGTTTGTTTTGCAGGGTTGAGCAACAACCAATCCTTGGGGACAATAAAGGAAAGACTAAAGGCTAACAAAAGCTAGCCTCCTTCTCTGTCCTGCCCCCGCGCATGCTCCTCCAAACTAACACTGCACAAGTGGTTGCACGCTGACCTATGAACCAGGAGGTCATGGTTGATTCCCGGTCAGGGCACATACCCAGGTTGCTGGCTCCATGCCCAGTAGGGGGGCATGCAGGAGGCAGCCGATTAATGATTCTCTCTCATCATTGATGTTTCTAACTCTTCCTCTCCCTTCCTCTCTGAAGTCAGTAAAAACATATTTTAGAAAAGGATCATCAATGTAAAGGATCACCAGATTACTGTCTGCTTGGAGCACCAAATCTCTGATCCTCAGGATGCAATCATGTCTCCAAGTAGCTTTGTTTATCCCCACCTGGGGCTCTACCCATCCTCCATTGTACCTACTCTACAAAGGCTTCTATGTCTCCTACCTGCCCACAGTTACCTGCTTCTCCTCTTGCTCATTATATTCTGCATCTTGACTGGGCCTGGCCATATGCCATCTGTTATCAGCAAGTATCTCTCTATGGAAGGACAACCTGCTTGTTCTCCACCAAGCACAAATTGTGCCTTTTCCTTATTTGTGTGCCATGCAGCGCCTGGCTGACACTGTCATTAGTCAAAAAAAAAAAAAAAAATATCCGTTGATTAAATAGCAAAAAGAAAAACTCACCGTAACTTCTGGGATTGACTTTCAGAGGGTCTGTGGAGATGTGGGAAGCAGAGTTTCTTTTCTTTAAAGGCTATCTGATGGGTACTGTGCCATCCGTGGGAGGATTCTGCTCGGAGAGGCGTGATTTTGAATTGCCTAGTGTTTTTGTTTTTTTGACTGACTCTCCTTTTGTCATAGTAGCAATTTGTTTCCATTAGCTCTCATGGCTAAGACTGGCAACAACCTGCGGTGATGCCCACACTGTGGTTTATCTCATCCTCTAACATGAAGGCTGGATTTAGGGGAAGGGAAGAAAAGAGGGGCAGGAGTAAGAGAAGGTGGAAGATATGGTCGATAATGTGAATTCACTGATAAAAGCAAATCTCTATCTAAAAGAATGGTTGTTAACTAGAGTGGGATCCTGTCCCCCCAACTAGGTTGCCACATTAAATATAGTACACCCAGTTAAATTTACACATTCTAAAATTTATTCATCGTTTCTCTGAAATTCTAACTTAAGTAGGCATCTAGTATTTTTATCTGCTACATGTGGCAGTCCTATCCCAGGGGACATGTGGCAATGTGTGGAGGCATTTAAAAAAAAAGTCTCGATTGATTTTTAGAGAGGAGAGGAGAGGGAGAGAGAGAGAAAAACATTAATGTGAGAGAGAAACATCGATCAGCTGCTTTCTGTACATACCCCAACAGGAATTGGGCCCATAACCCAGGTATGCGCCCTGACTGGGAATCAAACTTGCAACCTTTCGGTGCATAGGACGACATTCAACAAACTGAGCCACACCAGCCAGGGCTGGAGGCATCTTTGATTGTCACCACTTGGGGGTTATGTAAAGGTAAACTGAGGCATGTTAAAAAAAATTTAAGAGGTTATCTGAACAAAAACCGATTCAAATTGGGTAGCGCCAAATAGGAAGTGTTTAGGGGCACTCCTCCCACCAGAGCTAGGGGCAAGACCTTAATAGAAAAGATGCAGAAGCAATGCAAGGAAATCATTTGATTGTCTAGAGCACAAGCGGTTGCCTTATTTGGAAAAGCCTGATTGGTTGTTTGTACTTGGTTGTCCTTTGGTTTTGATTTCTTAACCTTGAGGCATCTACAGGCTTAGGTTTTGGTTTACTTATGTCGGTTGCTAAGGCATTGAAACCATCTTAGTCTACTGGCCTCCGTCTTGAATTAATTTAACAGGGTGCTGCTGGCATCCAGTAGGTAGAGGCCAGTGATGCTACTAATTCTACAGA